GGAGAGTCTGAGATTTATTTGACAGTGATTTCACATTTCTTGTTTGTATGAAGGCTAAATACCAATAAAAGGTGAACATTTATTTATTTGCGCCATTTTTTTCCTAAAATATTATATCGTTTTATAGGAGTAGGTTTCATAGAGTTGGCAAATTAATTTTTGTAGGTACAGATATCTGTTGTAAAACAGATGTCTGTACATCTGTTGTTCTTGGCCATTTTTATGAGGCTTTTTTAATAGTGTTCATATCGATATCGGAATTATATCGTATCGACCAAAATTAAGAAATATATCGTGATATAAATTTTGGCCATATCGTCCAGCCCTAAGAGAAATGCAGCAAAACGGTGGTAATTCATACATACACACACAGTCTCTCTCTCTCTCTCTCTCTGTCTCTCTCTCTGTCTCTCTGTCTCTGTGTGTCGTAAATGAACAGTTGATGAATCACACTTTTCTGAGAATAGACTTGAAGTGGAGATAGCTAAACTGCAAGCTAACCGCTGCAAAATGTTACTGTTTTTGCTGTATTTTGAATCAAATAAATGCAGGCTTGGTGAGCAGAAGAGAATTCTTTAAAAACATTAAAAAATCTTACTGTTCAAAAACTTTTGACTGGTATGTTAGCTTACAGTTTGAAGTAAAAAAATATTAATATTAATAAGGAGAGTCTGAGATTTATTTGACAGTGATTTCACATTTCTTGTTTGTATGAAGGCTAAATACCAATAAAAGGTGAACATTTATTTATTTGCGCCATTTTTTTCCTAAAATATTATATCGTTTTATAGGAGTAGGTTTCATAGAGTTGGCAAATTAATTTTTGTAGGTACAGACATCTGTTTTACAACAGATGTCTGTACATCTGTTGTTCTTGGCCGTTTTTATGAGGCTTTTTTAATAGTGTTCATATCGATATCGGAATTATATCGTATCGACCGAAATTAAGAAATATATCGTGATATAAATTTTGGCCATATCGTCCAGCCCTAAGAGAAATGATGCTGGTTGCTGAGGAAATACAACAACTTTGTGCTGTGGATCGGCTTTCACCGTGGACGAAGCGGAGTCCAGCCCGGGGTCATCACATGTGGTTGCCGCAAGCCTCCTTCATCGAATCCGCCGGCCGCGCCGTTATCAAGCCTGCCGCCTCACTCTCTCTCTCTCTCTCTGTCTCTCTCTCTGTCTCTCTGTCTCTGTGTGTCGTAAATGAACAGTTGATGAATCACACTTTTCTGAGAATAGACGTGAAGTGGAGATAGCTAAACTGCAAGCTAACCGCTGTTTTCAGAAAGCAAACGCGTTCTGTGGTTTATCCACAGTGGAGAGAGAGAGCGCGTGCACATGGTTGCCAGGTTGACAAAGATAAGTAGCACATTTAGCAGATATTTCCGTATTGCGTAAGTGTAAAGCTCTGTTTTGGGGATTACGTCTCTTTATATCAGGCAACCCAGTTGTGTTCCTCTGCGGCCAGATTAAACCTTGTTGTAGCCTATATATGCTCTATTCATTCTTTTTTAGAAACCTTGCACTTTTCTACTCTATTTTAAACGTTGTAAAATTTGTAACAAATTAAGCGCGGTCCACTGCTGCACACGTGCCACAATATCGATACAGGGCCAGCTGTATCGATACTTGTATCGTCAAATCTCTGTGACGATACATCGTCGTATCGATATTTTGAACACAGCACTAATAATAATAATACATGTCACTATTCTAACTGTGAATGGTTCATCAGTGCACATTATTCCACAGGTTAGGCTAACCGAGACTCGTCACAGCACTTACATATTATTGCTCTTTTGTTGGTTTTGATTGCTTCTGTTAACCTCATTCTTAAGTCGCTTTGGATAAAGTGTCTGCTAAATGACAAAATGTAAAAAATCGTCAGAATGTTTCATCAAAATGTAATAACGTGATCTGCCACTGAAACAACATATATTTATTGATATAGCTGTTGAAGCATTATTTTATGCTACTTTTCTAGGTGATGCAGCCTCTCTGAAATCTTGCCAGTAGTTATAGTAATTGGATGCATGTTAATGTAATGAAGATAACAGCAGTAATTAAATGAATGAAAAATGTTTTTTAATCTTGCTGAATCTTGTTCGACTCAAATTTGGCACATTGCAGAAGTAAAATGAAATGCAAATGCCATTTAATTTAGACTTATGTTAAATAACAATGTTTGGAAAACATAGCAACATTTTGTGTCATGTTCAGTGAGTTCTTACCAGGCACTCATTACGGGTCTTTATTTGTCTGACTTCCTTTCACTAGATCACAGTGTGGAAAAGGTATAGTGATTTCAAAAAGCTTCATCAAAACCTTTGGCAGATACACAGAAACCTCTATGGGCAGTCAGAGCTCTTCCCTCCCTTCGCAAAAGCTAAAGTCTTTGGTAAGTGTGTGTGTGTGTGTAAGTGAGACCGAGTGTGCTTTTTTAAGTTGTGTATTTATTTACTTATTTAAGTAACATTCTGGGGTGCATTTCCCAAACCTATCGTTAGCTAACTATGGTCATTAGTTCCATTGAACTCTATTGGTAATGACGGAACTTGCGACCTTAGTTGCTTTTGGGAAACTGCAGTGAACTGAATATTGTTGTTGCATATTTTGCTCATTTAAATATCACCAAGGTAACATAGATAAGGTTTTCTCTGATATATCTGACATATAATATGTTTCTAAAAATTATTATTTATTTATTCAGTGAAATATTGCAGGTGTAAAATTACAATATCTGCTATGCCAAGATATTTCCACCATGGGAATTTTTAAATAAAAATAGGTAAATAAAAATGTAAAAGATTGAAATCAAAGAAATATCCTGAAAGGGTTGTTTGTTAAGATTGTTATTTCTGGCTTACCTTGTGCATTTGTGTTTGAAGGTCGTTTTGATGAGTCTGTGATTGAAAAGAGAAGGCAGTGCTCAGAGGATTTGTTGCAGTTCAGTGCTAATATTCCTGCTCTGTATGGCAGCCAGTACATGCAGGATTTCTTTAAGGTATGTATATGAACTGGGATGGCTATCAGAGCTGTCAGGTTGTTTTCAATGATATTTGCATTTATTCATCTATCAGTCAGTGATATGCATTTTAAATATGGGCCTTCCAATGAATTCCAATAAGAAACGTTGTTTTATAAGTAATGGGGCACCCTCTGTACATCACGCATTACATTTACATTTAGTCATTTGGTAGATGCTTTTATCCAAAGCGACTTACAAATGAGGACAATAGAAGCAGTCAAAACCAACAAAACAGCAATAATATGAAAGTGGTGTGACTAGTCTCATTTAGCCTAATGCAGTACAAGTTGCAAGGTTTTTTTTATAATAAATAAAAAAGTAGATAGAATAGAAAAAGAAAAGGGAACGCTAGTGTTACAGGGTGTTTAAAAAAATAAAATAAAAAAAAAACAGTCAAAAGAATAGAGAATGCTTGTGTTAGAAGCAGTGCTCTGAACCGGTTCAAGAAACAAAAACCGGAAACAAACAAAATTTTGACAGGAACAAAAACAAAATCAAATGTTATAGTTCCGAACCGAATCGAAAATTTTAAATGGCCATTAACCGGTTAATAATGTTATTTTATCGTTCCATTTAAAATTTGAAATTGGCTGTCAACCAATCAGGAATTCAGATATGCAAATGTGACGCTAACGCATCCAACGTGTGAAATGTCCACGCTCAGCTGTAAACTCATCATAGGTAAGTCGCAATGACAATACATTAGAGTTTATCCGAGGATAGTGTAAGATGGATTCAACAGATCACACGCACCTGCAGCACTTGTGAACGGAGAAAATAGAATAAAACTATAGGCTTACATAAAAAGGATTAGCCTATATTGGCCTACACGAAATGTATTTCACTTAAATCATTGACAGATTAACAAAACGAAAGAAAAAAAATGTGCTGAGTTTCGGTTTATTGTTGTGACGAGATCCAAAGTTCACGGAAAGGAAAACGAGATAGCAGAAAATAGTTTTCTTTATTTTGCAAAAGTTTACAGTTTTATTTATTTAGCAAATATTGACAGTTTTGAATGATGTTTTGCTTCTATCTTTATAACCAACCAGCGTTGGTATGACCATATCGCGCCGGCGCCTCACGGCACACAGACACAACATATTTTGCGACATTGCAGCCTGTTCATTATCAGAATAAAATACAGTTAAAGAAACATAAAAAGTTACACTGCTCCGTTGTAAAATCTGTTCCGTTCAGCGAGCACTGCATCACTGTGCTGATATAGCCAATGTGAAGGATGATGTCGATGCGAGTGAAATACAAAGCCTATTACATAATAAATAATATTTTAGCGTCCAGATTCGTCGCGAATATGGAAACATTTGGATTCGTACCATTCGAGGTAGAATCAGTTTCACCTTAAATTCATTTGTTTTTGGATTGACATTTTTATAGCCTTAACTTTAGAGGATTAGTTGTTGAGAGAAGGAAACTAATAACTGTGTTTATCATAGATAGCCTCTGTATAGGCTACGTGTATATATATATATATATGTATATGTGTGTGTGTCTATAATGTTTGTAAACATTAGCACATTATTTCTATATGTACACGCCCGCGGTACACTCCGGTTTAGAGGGACTACACAGCACGCGTTAAGAGCTGATCACAATAATTACATTTATTAAAAAGCTGAAATTTCAAGCTTTAAAATGATACCAATTTTGTGTTATTCCATTCAGTGGTTGCTTAGTAATTTGATTATGACATTTTTCGTGCGGGAGGTTTTAGACTCACACTTTGCTTGTGAACGTCAATAAATAATTTCTGATAACTTTTGGAAAACCATTCAACTATTTAAGGTTTTGCCACTGACTTTTACTGGGTGCTTAATTTATATGACAGTGGACTACTGTACTGACTTAAGTCATTAATTATATTATTAAAAATAAGGGCAGTCAATCAACGGAAGATTCTAATCGAATAAATTGCTTGATATGGATTTAGGGCTGCACGATTAATCGAAATTAAATCGCAAAAGGCGATAAATCGCGAATAAATACAGTTGTCATGCGTATCTTTCAGTGAAGCACGGTCCTGTGATCAGCAGTAAATCTCCATCCGAAGGCCAGAGGGCGCTCTTGCACTGAAACTCCAAATACGCCCCGCAGAAGAATGAATAAACAGAAGATTTAACTGCTTTCATTAATTCAACGTGACACATACACACACGACTGCGACAATATATGGTTTATCTGAGTTCGTCGTCTTATAATTTTTATTAATAATAATTTTTTAATAATTTTTATTATAATAAAGTAAAGCAATGCTAATCGACATAGTATTCTAAGCAGTGATAAAGGCTATGAAATATGTTGCGTGCCTTATTCTGTGTAAAAAGCCACATCATCTCACAGAAGGATTTATTTCAAACACTCGACTGACGTTATGAAGTGACTTTGGAGTAAAAACATGTTATTAAATGTGGTATTTTCACATGCTTTCAGATGAAGCAGAATTTACTTCACAGAGCCGTAGTTCACTGACATGCTACGCAAACAGCTGTCACGATCGCAGAACTATTTCTTAGATTTCATAACCGCGTGATTAAATCGTCTGCGATTATGAATGTGATTTTGCGTAGCTTGTCAGTGAACTATGGCTCTGTGTAGTAAATGCTGCTCCATCTGAAAGCATGTGCTGGAGATTTATTACTAATCACAGAACCAGCTTTACTGACAAGATACGCATGACAATCATAATCGTGCAGCCCTATATGCAGTGTAAACATGCTAAAGAGGAAATGATGAGAGGACTGACGGGCTGAAAGAGAGTTTGAACGAGAGCTGCAGTTTGCAGCTTTTCACTTAAAAGTATTATTTTGCAATTTTACGTCAGTTGTGTCTTTACATTACTCTGACGAAGCTTCAAGTGATTGAGGTAAATATAAGAGGACTGTGAGTGATACACTGCTGCCAGTTGGTGGAGCTGTGACTTTGACTAACAATAGCCACATCTGTGCGATCAGCCCACTTCACCTAACATATGGCTCAAGTTAAATCTAAATCATTCACTGCGTGTGGAAGATATGAGACACTTCCTGTCTCTGCCGTTTTTGCTGACTAGGGGTGTCCACTAGCACATAATGAGCAGAGCGGGTGATTTCAGTTTTCAGTGGAACTGATAACAGGAAGTGCTGAGGGCAGTCGAGCATCCAAAAGTTGAGAAACAGGGTCTAGTGAGGTCTAATGCTGTCTAATGAGGGTATTTGTTAGTCTAGCAACAACCAAGCAACGGCCTGGCAACCAGGCAGAACACCCTAGCAATTAACAACTATAATTAATGTTTGTTTTATTAGACATTTTCTCATTTCCATTTGTATTTATTAAAAAACGTATTCTAAAATGTTGCGAAAATATGGTATAAAGAATACCAGTAGATTTGTCCAAACTTTAACTGGTAGTGTATTTTTTTTTTCCAGGAAGACCCACAGACAGAATAAACAGTTTCCTTTCATGAATTTCTTGTTTATCACTTCCTCCCCATGTCACAGGAATTAAACATGGTAACCTTGTGTGTGTGTGTGTGTGTGTGTTTTAGGGTGGTGAGGTGCAAGACAGCTCTGAGCTCATCGGCCCAGCCGAGCCCTTCTCTGATTTCTTAGCTGACAGCCTCTTAGATAGCAGCTCTGAAGGTAAGTTCATCCGTAAAATGTCAAACTCGCTTTAAATTAAAGAATGTAAAAAATGTCCCACATCCAATATAGTTAATTTTTGTATTCCCAAAAATACTTTTTAAAGGGGTCATATGATGGTGCTAAAAATAACATTTTGGTGTAATGAAATGTTCATGCGGTTTAAGGTTAAAAAAACACATTATTTTCCACATACTGTACATTATTGTTTCTCCTCTATGCCCCGCCTTTCTGAAACGCGTCAATTTTTACAAAGCTCATCGGTCTGAAAAGCGAGGTGAGCTCTGATTGGCCAGCTATCCAGTGCATTGTGATTGGCCGAATACCTCGAGCGTGTGATGGAAATGTTACGCCCCTCATCATACAGGGATGCCCTGTCCGGCCGGAGCGACGAGACAACTATAAAACCCATTATAAACAAGGCATTTGTTTCTTCCAGTGGGGACATAATTACTGATTATAATGACTTATACTGTGTTTTTACGCGTTGCATCGCGCAGCGTAAACATAAAACCATGTCTGCATTTGTAATCGGAGAAATGACAAACTACGTGGCCTAGAGTGAGCGGAAGACGGAGGCCTAGAGTGACCGGCGGACTAGAGTATGCGGAGGCCGGCTTGAGTGAGCAGAGGCGGATGGGCGGGCCTGAGAATGGGGTGGCTGGTGGATTTGACGAAGGAGCGTCCGGCGGGCTTGCGGCAACCACATGTGACGACCCCGGGCTGGACTCCGCTTCGTCCATCCGGCGATCGACAGCGCGAAGTTGATGTATTTCCTCAGCGACCAGCACGGATCAGCTCCAGGCATGACGAAGCGGATATCATCTTTTGGAAGGCCAAACAAAGTAGTTTCGCTTTCACAACGAAACACAGCGCCTTCACGACATGGCGTGCAACAAAACTACAGCGAGAATAAAAGTTACGCCTTCTTTCTTTGCGTGAACATTTGGGCGGTGTTATGCAAATCTTCCCACATAGTGAGGTAGATATGTGGGGGCGTGTTAGAACGAGCCGTTTTAGGTAGGTGTGGCTGACTCTTAACTTTTATAAAGAATATCTCTTTGGATTTGAGACTTTAGTCTTTGCAACTTTACAGATCTTCTTTATGCACCAAGACGCATCATATGACCCCTTTAAGAGTGTTCTTAAAACAAAACTTTAAAAATAATCTTCTTAGATTGTTTTAAGATTTTATATAAATTTATTGGGTTATTTCAAATTAATTATTGTAATTAAGCGTTATAACATTACAATATAGTACATGTTGCTGTCCTAGTGATTTTCATAATTTGACACACCAGTGAATAACATAAACAATGATCAGTCATGATTATGCAGGTTGCAACTTTTTGCTAATTTCAAAATTCAGTAATAACTCTACAAAAAGCAGTCAAGCTTATATTTAAACTATGCAAAATACATAGTGCATTAAACCACATGCGGACAAGTGCTGAACATTCGTCAATAGTATGCACGGTTTTATGATTATTACAGTAATCTGCAGGTAGTACAAAAAGCCAACCTTTTTGGAAAGGAAAGGTGTGCGTAGATTCATAGAAAAGAATGTATTTGAATTTTAAAGATGTGGTGCTTCTCATCCAGTGTTCAACCCTATTTCCACCCTACATTTTGTTTTGCCAGTGTTGGAGGCTCCTGGTTAGAGAACTACTAACTAAATAAAAAAAGAGGGGGGCAAGGACTGAGTTGAGTTTGTTGTGTGTGGCCATGTCCAGATCTAATATACTGATACAAATGCAGCTTGTTTACAGTTGGCAGACATAACAGACTGTTTATGAATTTGGTGTGTTTTTGAAATAACCTCATGTGTACTTGACAGCTGACGTGAAAGAGCTACTTTTCTTTCTTTTTTTTTTTTTTTTTTTGCTTTTTTTTTACTTTTGCTTTTTTTTTTTCCATGTCTGCTGTCTCAATATGTGAGGACATGAACTTCATTTCCAGAGCTGCTCTGAGAGTCACTTAACAAGCTTTTCACCATTTCATTTGAGAAATATTGATATTGTATGAATATTGTGATGATATTTATCTGTTTAGCTTATTTTAATATCTGCATATAAACTGTTTTCTGAGACGGTATGGAAGTCATGAGACAGCAAGATAATAATATCTGTCTCATGACTTCCATACCGTCTCAGAAAACTGTTTTAATTTTTTGATTGAATTGATATTTGAGTTTGATTGAATCTGATTTTGTATTTTTTCTATGTTGCCTTTCCGTAGCTCCTAAAGATATCAGCGTTGTGGATGATTTGATGATAGTGGCCAACCCATGTGAACATGAGCGTAAGTGAGCATTTCCAAAATGTGTGAATCTTGTCATGGTGCCAAAATTTCAGTACTAATACCAGTAACATTTTCATGGTTCTCTGTACCAGTTTCGTTACCACGGCAAAAACTGTTACAATTATTTAGCTATTTAACTATGTGAAAATAAAATACATTTATAAAATTGGTTAATTATTAATGCTAATAAAATAAAGTTAAAAAAAGCCTTAGTGTGTAGCCTATTAGTCTGCATTTTATACTGCACAGATTTTTCATTTACTTTTAATTTATTTTGATGTATTATTTTTGTGCCTGTTGCTATTGTTATCACTTTTAAGCCCACATTTAATTTGAGATTTTGTCAATCCCAAAACTTTTGCAGGTGTGCTTAAATAACAGTTAAAAATAACTGAAGCTTTCGAGAAGAAATTTGAAGTGCTTCTACTTTTGGATGGCAAATATTTTAGCTAAATGTTTTAGAATTATTGTGCTCACATTCTTTGGAGACTCTGAAAAATAATGGACACTGTGTGAGCCGCTGTGGTTTCAAATTCTGTTTTGAGTACTGAGATTGTTACCGAATTATCTAATTCCCTGACAATAACTAATGACAATAACTAATTCCCTGACTATTTTCAAGCGGCACCTGAAAATTCATCTCTTTCATCACCATTTGACTTCATCCTAAAAACAACCCTTTGCTTTCACTCTCCTTAATCTCGCCCTGTCTAGTTTGTACTAATCTGAGCAATGCCTGAAACTTTGAACTATGAGCACTTCCTTCATTTATTTGCCTCTTTATGATGAATCACTTGTTGTATTCCTCAATTGTAAGTTGCTTTGGATAAACGCATCTACAAAATGAATAAATGTAAATGTAACTTGGTCAACATCTTGGCATTGACATTGAAGATGATAAATTTCAAATAGATTTTTGTTATCTTAAATGGTTTCGCCATGGCGAGGCAATACATTTATGGGGAAAAAAGGGAAACAAGAAGTGCCTCGTATCTTCTCACTGCATTGAGTGATTTAGAGTAAACTTGAGGTCTTGAGGGTTTATCACATGGACATCACATGTCTTAGTGCTATCAACTGACATAGCACTGAGACATACAACAGGCTTTTAAATAGTCTCTTTATATTCAACAAAATCGCTTCAAACAGAGTAAGAATAATTTCAAGACATATAAAATTGCAAAGGGTTCTCAATATGTTAAATGGTACTGCGTCGTTCTTATAAAACCTTTTCTTAGTGTATTTTTGAGGCTCTTGGCATGCTTAAAATGTAATGAAATGCAGGGCACACATCAGAGTTGTAAGTCATTAGCCATAGACAAAAGCTAAAACATGGACATACTGTGTAGGTAGACTCTGTAGCGCCCCCTTTTGACTAAAATTGGGAGGGGGTCAGCTTTTTCCAACAGAATTTAACTCCAGCTAGTTTCAACACACTTGCCTGGAAGTTTTTAGTGATCCTGAAGACCTTAGCTGGTTCAGGCTGGAGCTAAACTCCGCTGGAATATGGCCCTACAGAGGCAGGATTGTCTTACAGTCCCCAGACTCGTATATATTGTTGTTGTAAAGCCATACAACTTTCAAAATTAGTCATTAGATCTGCCCAACAAGAAGTCAGCTATTTTGAATTCATGCTAGATTTGTGTCCTTAATGACAGGTGGCAGCAGTGACAGTGAGCTGAATTCTCTGGAGGTTGATGGCGACACTCTGGCTGCAGTGGATGATGGAATGGCATCAGGCAGCATCAGGCACACAGCAACACAAAGCAACTCGTCTCCGATCCAACAGCCAGTGACGTCCCCAAGCCGGCTGGGAGTAGAGTCCAGCCATAGCAGTGGGGCTTTGAGCTTCACCTCCAGCCTCAGGAACTACTCGGAGAAGGACTACCTGGAAGAGGCCAGTGAGCAGATCGCTCTAGCTGTCCAGAAAGAAGTGGAGCAGGACTTTGCAGTGGCGTTTTCCTACTACCGTAGAGGTGTAGATCTTCTGCTGCAGGGTGTACAAGGTATATAATTTAATGCATAACTCTGTATTTCAACTGTGTCCGCATGTGCTCTGTTTGGCTTATTCCAGGGTTTTAACAGAAAGTGGCATTATGTAATGTCATGTAAATGTGAATTTCATTTGAAGGATATACTTTGTCATTGAAGTCCTCTCTTCTGGGCTCTTAGTCTTATAAGCATGAATTGCGTTTTTAGAAGGTTAATCTTAGATTTAAAATACTTCTGAGAAAGCAATTCATGTTTCAGACAAAGTCATGCATGTTTCTCTTGACCACAATTAAGAGAAAACTGTTTAACACGCATATGTTTCTGCCAAAAATGTGACATACTGTGAGTACTAGTGGCAGAAATTTGCCAGTATACCCAGATACCCAGTAGGTCATAGTATTTTGTTTACAGCCAAAACTATCTGAATTTGAGCCCTGGAGGCTTTCTTAGTACAGTAAGCATGGACAGTATATACAGCTCCACAGTAACAACAGCTGAATAATAAACACCTACCCAGTCAATACTTGTACATGTACATGTTCGCGGGCTTCAGGCAGCTCAGAATCAGTTCTTTCTTTTGGGAGATCGTAGCTCATGCACTTTGATTTTTGAATATTTGTAGACCTTTTTACATTAAACAAACCGCTATATTACAGACAGACTACATGTATGAAAAAGCATAATAGGGGCACTTTAGCATGAGCTTAATTAGAGTTTGTAACTGTCTGCTATGGATAAATTGTAATTTTATGTTATTTTTGTTATATTATATACATAATACATCATTCTGGTTCATTCTCTCCAAATTTCAAACTTGTGAGGTTGCGCACATCCAAGTTTGAAAAGCGGTTTTAATACCAAGCAAATGAACCAAACTCAACTTTTGGAGTGGACCATTAAACAGACATGCAAGTTTATTGCAAGTGTATGTATTGCATATTTCAGGAGAGGTAAGTCCCAGCAGAAGGGAGGCTGTGAAGAGAAAGACAGCAGAATATCTGATGCGTGCCGAGCTCATTTCTGGACAGCTCAAAGACAGCATGGGTCAGAGCTCCACTCAAAGCAGGGTCAGTGTGTGTGATCTTTCACCTTCACAATGAAACATGAGGCCTCATTTACAAAATGCCAATTTTTACAGTTACTTTTAATTGATGATTAATTGACTTTTAAAGTGAGTGAACACATTTTATGAATGAGTGCACATTTTACGAATGAGGCTCTTAAACTTTTCCATTAGCCTATTGTTGTTTCATGTTGCCTGTACTATGTGTTGTTTACATGTTTTTTTTTCTTTTTTTGTGTTTGTCATTGCTGGGGTGTGACTTCAGGCATTGGGCTCGCAATGCTGTGGTGGCTTGTGGGCTGAGCAGACTCATTCTGATGAGCTGAAGCATTACAGAGTGCTGGGCATTATTGATAAGGTACAATATTATGTTTCAATATTAAAACTGCATTATGATCATTACTGCATTACAACACAACAAATTTTGAAAATTATTAAAGGAATAGTTCATTCAAATTAAAGCCAAGTCTTGATTTATTGCACAAGTTATTCCAAACCTGTATGCCTGTATGTTTTTATTTTTATTTTATTTATTTATTTTTGTATGGGAGGCAAAATAAATATATTGGACTAATATGAGTTAATGGTGACCAAACGATGTATGTCACATTTAGTAGGGTGAAGTTGAATCAGAAATAAACAAGCTTTAATACAATTACCTGGAGAGAGAGTTTATGTAAAACAACATTGAGAATGTGTGAGGAGGAAGATTGCTAGGTCTAGTGTGAGGAACTCTTGAGATGGGGAGTCAATGGGAAGAGAATAGTAGCAGATTCAGCTGATTTTTGTAAGCTAACAGAGACAGAATTAGTTCTATGAGAATCCTGTTCTTCCAATATGTATATGCAATACCAATGCGCACATATACAGTATATATATATATATTACATTTACATTTAGTCATTTAGCAGATGCTTTTATCCGAAGCGTCTTACAAATGAGGACAATGGAAGCAATCAAAATCAACAAAAGAGCAATGATATGCAAGTGCTATAATAAGTCTCAGTTAGCTTAACACAGTACACGTAGCAAGTTTTTTTTTTAAATCATATAATAAATAGAAAACAGATAGAATACAAAAGCTAGAGTTATTTTTTATTTTTTTAAGAAAACAAGCAGTAAATGAATAGAGTGCAAGTCTAAAAGGGACAAGGTTTTTTGTTTTTTTGAGTGCTAGAGTAAGAGGGTCAACTAAAGATAGAAGAGATGTGTTTTTAGCCGATTCTTGAAGATGGCTAAGGACTCAGCTGCTCGAATTGAGTTGGGCAGGTCATTCCACCAGGAGAGAACATTAAATTTAAAAGTCAGTGAAAGTGATTTTGTGCCTCTTTGGGATGGCACAATAAAGCATTTTATATATATATTTTATAAAGCAATTTTATGCGAGCAGCTATTGGTAGCCAGTGCAAATAGATAAACAGAGGTGGGACGTGCATTCTTTTTGGCTCATTAAAAATTTATCTTGCTTCCTTTCTGGATTAATTGTAAAGGTTTGATAGAACTGGCTGGAAGACCTGCCAAGAGAGCATTGCAATAGTCCAGCCTGGACAGAACAAGAGCTTGAACAAGGAGTTGTGAAGCATGTTCCGAAAGAAAGGGCCTGATCTTCTTGATGTTGAATAAAGCAAATCTGCAGGACCAGGCAGTTTTAGCAATGTGGTCTGAGAAAGTCAGCTGATCATCAATCATAACTCCAAGGTTTCTGGCTGTTTTTGAAGGAGTTATGGTTGATGTGCCTAACTGGATGGTGAAATTGTGATGAAACAATGGGTTTTGTTGGAACCAAAAACAGTTCTGTCTTGGCAAGGTTAAGTTGAAGGTGATGGTCCTTCATCCAGCAAGAAATGTCTGTTAGACGAGCTGAGATGCGAGCAGCTATCGCCGGATCATCAGGATGGAATGAGAGGTAGAGTTGAGTGTCATCAGCATAGCAGTGATATGAAAAGCCATGTTTCTGAATGACAGAACCTAGTGATGCCATGTAGACAGAGAAGAGAAGTGGTCCAAGAACTGAGCCCTGAGGCACCCCAGTAGTTAGATGTTGCGACTTGGACACCTCACATCTCCAAGATACCTTGAAGGACCTATCTGAGAGGTAAGACTCAAACCACTGGAGTGCGGTTCCTGAGATGCCCTTTGCCAATAGGGTTGACAGGAGGATCTGGTGGTTAACTGTGTCAAAAGCAGCGGACAGATCCAGCAAAATAAGTATTGGAGATTCGGAATCCGCTCTTGCCTGTCTTGGGGCTTCAACAACTGAGAGCAAGGCAGTCTCGGTTGAATGTCCACTTCTGAAACCAGACTGGTTGCTGTCGAGGAGGTTGTTCTGTGTGAGAAAGGCTGAATGTGAAATGAGTGTATGTTTGCTGGTAAGATGTGCTTGACAGATTGTGGTAAAATTGTGCACTGATGGTTTTAATTTTACTAATGAAGAACATGGCTAATTCATCAGCTGTTAGAGTTGATGGAGGGGGAGGAGGAGGACAAAGGACCGAGGAAAATGTTTTAAAGAGCATTCAAGTGTTAGATGAATTGTTCATTTTGTTATGATAGTATGTCCTTTTAGCAGTGGAGACGTTAGCAGAGAAGGAAGAGAGGAGTGACTGATACACATTAAGGTCAGTAGGATTTTTGGATTTGAGCCACACACTTTCAGCAGCCCTGAGCTTAGAACAATGTTCGCGGAGAACATCAGACAGCCAAGGGGCAGAAGGGGTGGTACGGGCTGGCCTGGAAGACAAGGGGCAGACACTGTCTAAACAAGATGTAAGAGTGGAGCAGAAAGTATCAGTAGCACTGTTAACATCAAGAGATGAAAACTGTTTAGGGGGAGGAAACGAAGATAAAACCATGTTGAGGTTAAGAGTGAGGAGGAAGTGATCCGAGGTGTGCAGTGCAGTAACCAGTACATGATCAGTGGAGCAGTGTCGTGTGTGAATAAGGTCCAGTGGATTGCCTGATTTGTGAGTAGGCAACTTCTTTTGTCTCTTGAGATCAAAAGAGGCAAGCAGAGTGTGGAAGTCTGCAGCCTGAGGTTTATCTAGGTGGATGTTGAAGTCTCCAAGCATAACTAGTGGAATACCATCCTCAGGAAAGTTTGAGAGCAGCACATTTAATTCTTCCACGAAGTTACCTAGTGGTCCTGGGGGGGGGTTGATAAACAACTATAAAATGGATTTTAAGAGGGTGGGTAATAGTGGCTGAATGTGATTCAAAGGAGCTGTTGATACTCAGAGATGGTAAAGGATTACATTTCCAATCATTAGAGATAAGCAGACCAGTACCTCCACCTCTTCTGGGGGGAGTGGGGAAAAAGAGAAATTATTGGAGAGTGCTGCAGGAGTAGCATTGTCCTCTGGTTTGATCCACGTCTCTCAACCTACAGCCAATGAGAGAGCAAGACACGGGGCTAGGGAAATTCAGAGGGAAGACCTGTAGGCTTACGTCATTCCCTGCATCACTTCTTCCGTATGTGTATTGTACACGAGAGTTCGGGGATTCTCCCCAGTTAAATATTGTGTAATCCTGTAATGTGCAAACCACAGCAACTTCATGATACCTGAAACAGTTGTGTAGAGTGAAAGGAACAGCAAGCCGACGACATTGAATAATGTGTATTGTATACTGGCATTGGAGAGACATGCAAAATGTGCAGAGGAGTGGGTCCCCAGGACCAGGATTGAAAACCTCTACATACTGTTTACCTAATTTTGTGAGAATTGTTCACAAGGTGGCACTATATTGATAGTCTACATTATTGTTGATTAACAAATCCCATTGGAAGCAGCAGTCCCATAAAGGCCCTGTTCAGACTGCCATCAAAAATCTGAGTTATGTTTTTTTTTTTTTATGTTATCCAGATGTGTTTTTGAAAGTCTGGACAGCAAAAAAATACATAAAATAAAAAAAAGTATGAAATCAGATTTCAGATTTTCAAATCTGACTCAAACCACATATGTGACCCTGGACCACAAAACCAGTCATAAGGGTAACTTTTCCGAAACTTGAGATTTACAGTATTGATAGAAGAACACAGGAAACATTTATTTTGAAAGTAAGTGGTCTATTTACAGTTAATAACACCTAATAATTTAACAGGAATGGCTCACAGATATGCTGTACTTCTGTTTAAATTGACTGTTTATTTACTATTTACAAGTAATAGGTGTAAAATCCCCTGCATTATATTCTTTACCAAACTGTCATAAAAGTTTTGTTGCCCTTAAAATTACAATTTCTAATTACAATAAAATTTTCTTTGTGTTTGGGATTTTGTATTTAATGTGGGGGGGGAGACAACATTAGAAGAGATTTAACATTACAGTAAAGTGCAGGCATAAACTGCAAATTATTATTTTGCTACTTAAGACTGGTTTTGTGCTCCAGGGTCACATATGGAAGTGGTTTGAATTGCAATTCCAATAGGATTTTTACAGATGCTTCTCAGTGTGGGCGCTCTGGCTGCTCAATTCAGACTTCAATTTTTAGTTTGCATCACTCTTAATGCGACACGCAACGAAAACGTCAAAACCGGTCATGGAAATGGCAGAAGTATTCATACAGTAAAATGTAATTTTACAAATGTGAAAACTTGACATACACAGCAATCAGATTACACATATGATATTTGTAGTATAGACAGCTCTGTTCATTATAACAGGAGCAGACTGAAAGATAAACAATTTAATACCACTTCAAGGTTTGTATGAATATTTTTGGACTGTAGGCCCCTGATTTTATACTGATATGGCTTCTGTGTGTGTGCAGGGTTTAAGGAAAAGCAGTGCGTGTGGACGTGTTAAAAAGACTATTGTGCCTTGTTCCGTGCCAAACATGGTACAACTGGAGAAATGCATCATCTCAGAGGACTCCATCTTTCTTTTACTGCACTATGCAGAGGGTGAGTTGTTTTCATTGTTTTTGCTTTTTGCCTAACTGCGTAAACAAGATGTTGAGTAGTACTTCCTCTTTGTCTCCTCAGGTGGTAAATTGTGGTCTCATATCTGCAAGTATCTGCGTGAGAACAGTCCAGAAGAAAGCTTCAACATACCTTTCATCCAGAAAGTTCACTCTACAGCGGTCCATTCAACCCTGAACCCTGTGCACACCGGTTCCAGCAGTGTGGATTCTCGGGGCCTAAGCCTCGGGGAGGATCTCTCAACAGCCCAACTGCCAGACTCTGGTGCCACCTCTGAAGAGGAGTGCACCAACAGCTACTTGACGCTGTGCACGGAGTATGAGCAGGAGAAGCTGGAGCCAGACGAGGACCGCTGCTCACTTGTTCCTGTGTTAACACAGAAACATACATGCTCAGTGTTGAACACTGATAGTCTGTGCTCTCCAATATCGATGCAGGAGCTGTGCTTCTTCACTGAGGAAGAGCAACTAGCCGGCTTTGTGGACCAATGCACACATTCACCTGACCATCCGGACCAATCATCGCCAACGGAGCTCTTCCAGAGTGACAGGCAAGAAGCCTGCAAGCCATCGTTTGCACCCTCAGATGATGGTTCAGAGCTCACAGAGGAGCCAGTGGAGATGATACAGGAAGTGTCGGATCTCTGGAGGTCCGACAGTGATCAATCCTCGAACGATCTGGTGCCGGTGATTTCCTTTAAAGAGGCTGTACTGGAGGATGCCACTGTCAGCTGTGCTGTTGAGGGACAACCGCCTGATCTGTTGGTCAATCTGCCAGTGCTTGAAGATGGCACAGTGGACACGCAGGATGAAGAGCTTATTACTGGAGACATCGCTTTTGCTGCAGTGGCCAAAACCTCTCCTACATTTGGCAGGCCAGATGTTCTACAGAGAGGAGAGAAAGAGGAGTTGGACCAGTCCATTGATGTGGCCACTTTTACTCTTCTACACAGACCATCAAAAACACCTTTTAGAACAGACTCATTGACTCTGTCTTCCCCTGAGCTCTCTGGCACGCTGGACGCAGCTGTTCCCAGAGCTCAGATGGACTTTGTTGAACATGAAGAAGTGGGCTTGAGGTCCAAAGGCACTATAGAAGAACAGGAGGATGAGGAAGTGTCGAAGTTGTTTCAAGAGCTGGATAAGTTGGCCGCAGTTTCATTAGACACACGCATCCCAGAGGCTCTAGTGAGGAACTGGGCTGCTGACATGGTTATGGCTCTGGACGCTCTGCATCAGGAAGGCATTATATGCCGAGACCTGAACCCCAGCAACATACTGCTAAACCACGCAGGTGAATCAATCAATCTTACTTCATTACACTATTCAAGACCCCTGTTACTTCAAATTGGCTTATGTGTTAGAATACTAGTTGATATAAATTAAAACATTTACAGTCTAGTGCTAGTTAGGTGAGTAGCTAGTTGGGTTATTTGGCAAACCAGCCTGGTTAAATATTGGACAGAACACATGCTGGGTTATTTTGACCCAGCTGGTTGGGTTAAATGTTTGGCTCAACATGCTGTGTTGTTTTATTTAACTCAACTATTGTTTAGAAATGATTTTATTGCTGGTTTAAAATGGGTTGGAAATTCGAAATCTCACACAGAATTATTAGAGGTAACAATAATAATCAAAAGGTGAACATTTATTAATAAGCAAGAACATCCATGGACAAAAAATATAAAACAAATTGATTTTTTTTTTTTTTGGGAGGAATACAGCATATTTTACAATATTACATACATTTAAACTCATTTAACAAGCATTTTAGAAACGGGAAACATTTAAAAGCAACATTTTAATTCAAGTGGATTCAACTGTTCTCTGTTATCCGGTGAATCGCCGAAATCTGAGCCGGTGATGGGCTGCCACCTCGCATTTCATTCGCACCTCTCAGTTAATCAGACCATGTACGCAACAAATAATTATGCAAGTCACTAAACAATGATGATAGCTGTATAGCTGTGAAACTCTGGCATCATCATATCCAGTGACCTTCAGTAACTGAAGTCTGGACAAAAATATTTCAAACTTGGAAGGCTTTGGGTGTGTAATGTTGTTGTTTTCATGTTTATTAATGTTTGTTCATGTAATGTAGAGATTACCAAATATTGTTGTGTTTGCCAAACACCTTAAAATAAAATAGTTCAGTTAATATTTAACTAATTTAATGTTTACGGTTCTCCGATATTGGTTAAGGGTCACATTGACATGCAGGTAAACAAATAAAATATTTCTATTTTTAGTGTTCAAGGGATTAAATTATTTTTATTTTACATTTCAATTATTTAATTTACTTATTAGATTTTTTTTATTAACTCAGTCCCACTGCTGTTCTTGCATTAAGCTCAGTTTGGAAAACCCTGGTGTGATGTTTAATGCATTTTACGATGTTGATATAAAAACAAAATAGAATATACTGTATTTTCTTTCTCTTTGCTTTTTTATATCAATATGGTATGTTTAATGGTAAGTTTGTAACAAGTTAGATAAAAAAGTAATCTAAAGAGTAGTCAGAATATATTATCCAAAATGAGTAACCTAGATTACTTTACTAACAACCGCTTTCATGGTGTAATCTGTAATCATTAACAGACTACAACTTGTATGTAATCTACCTAGCACTGCCAATAAATACAGAAAACCAACCAATTCCATTGGGTTTATTGGGTGTGTATATATACTGTACATTATATATTATATTATATATAGTGTACAGTACTCCGCATAAATGAGTACACAGATGGCAAAATAAAGATGTAAAATAAGTAACTTACATGAGTAAATAACAAACATGAGGTATTCTAGTACTTAATATATCCTCCGTGACCAAGTATTCTTTTCTGACCCTTCTTGACATGGAGTGTACAAGTTCATGACACATTGTCACATCAGTCCTGTTTAACTTCTGGAAGATGACCTCCCCTGATCTTTAATGGAGATTGTTGCTCAACTTGTCTCTACCAAACAATCCACAGGTGTTCAAGTGTTTTAAGGATCTGTGAAATGAAAAAACAAATGCCCAAAAATGCATGGATTGAGCAGAGGCTAGCATCTTCTGTTTTAAGTTTTTGTGCTACATCACACATTAGTGTGTGACTTTATGACACCATTGATAAAGCACAACCCCCTCACACCTTCAGCACTCATACATTATATTATGATAATAACTATTATTTTAATATTACTTTATAATCTTTTTTTTTCTTAAATGTGTAAACATCATATATCATTCATGAAATCATTTTATGGGGTCTTGAATTAGAACTAAAAAGACTAGCACACACTACATAACTTTATTAATTTAATTAAAAAATGTGATCAGTTTTATTGACACCCTAACTCTCTCTCTCTCTCTCTCTCTCTCTCTCTCTCTCTCTCTCTCTCTCAGGCCGTGTGCAGCTCACCTATTTTTGTAGCTGGAGTGATGTAGAGGAGTCATGTGATCCTATCGCCATCTCTAAGATGTACTGTGCGCCAGGTCAGCTTGTCTTAATCCTATAGGCACAGTCTGTGCTGTATTTGTACTCTTTCATTAAATGCACTGTATTTTATTTATTTATTTTTTGTTTGAGCTCACTATCCACAGACTTAAACAGGGTGTCCGCGGGTCCTTAAAAAGTCTTAAAATGTCTTCAATAACGTTTTCCTAATATAAGGCCTTAAAATGTCTTAAATTCGGATTCGATGGGTCTTAAATATTTTTGGTCTTATTACTGCTAAAATATCTTCAGTCTGACGGAGCTAATGACTTACAATCATTAGACAGACTGAAGATTTTTTCTTCCCCGCGGTAAGTTACTGCGTCATCAGAGAGAATTGCAGTAAGTTAGCAGAATACAGAATACAAGGTCGCGCTGAGGCTCACTCTGTTTGTCTTGAGACTTCAGAACAAATGAGCGTGACAGCACACATAAACTCAGAAGAAACACACTGAGGTTAAAAATTCAAAATGTTTAGTTTATTCATAACATGATGGAGTTAAATAACACCATGACAAGTGAGCTATTTTGCTCAATATTCTCACGACGCAAAAAAAA